TATATATATATCTGAAAGTAGGGCTGGGGGGTTGTAGCTCAGTTGGTAGAATGCTTGTCTAACATGCACAAGACCGCTAGGTTCACTCCTCAGTACCCCATAAACCAGGTATGGTGGTACATGCCTGTAGCCCCAAAGCTAAGGAGGTAAAGGCAGGGGTTCAGAAGTTCACAGTCATCCTCTGCTACATGGCAAGTTGAAGATCAGCTTGGGATAAAGGAGACCCTGTCTAATATATATATACAGACTGCAGATATCTATAATCCCAGCACTCCTGTGGGGAGATGGGGACAAAGGCAGGAGACCTTCCTGCAAGTTCACAGTCCAGCTAGTTAGGAGTAAACAGCACGGCAGCAGAAACAAGACAGACCTCAAAACAAGGTGGAAGGAGAGAACTGACTTCTGAGAGCTGTCTTCTGACTCCACACTTACACCATGGCACATGCTTGCCCACACAGACACACACACATCATACATACACTACACACACTCCAGGAATAAAATTATATATATGTACATACACACACACGAATGCAGTCATGCTCACTGTAGACTATGGATAATAGAAAAAGGCTTACCAAATATACATACACACACACACACACACGAAAGCAGTCATGCTCACTGTAGACTATGGATAATAGAAAAAGGCTTACCAAAGAGGATTAAAAGCACTCATAGGCCGGGCTTGGTGGGCATGCCTTTAATCCCAGAACTTGGAGCCAGAGGCTCCACAGCAAGTTCCAGGCCAGCCTGGCTACAGGGAGAAGACCCTGTCTCAAAAAGACCCCCCCCAAGAAAAAAGCACTCATAGTCCTGTCTGCTAAAGACAATCACCAACATCCTGGTATTCTTCCTTTGTTTCCTTCTGTCTGTACATATATTTAAAGTAAATCTGGAGTCACAGTTTATATAGTATCATAGTATTCTATCCTCTTGATATTACTTGCCAAGCATTTCTCCATATAAAAACTTTATTTTTTGGTCTTTTTGAGACAGGGTCTCCCTGCAGCTCCAGCTGGCCTGGAATTCACTATGTGGACCAGGCTGGCCGCGAACTCACAGAGATCCACTTGCCTCTGCCTCCCAAGTGCTGGGATTAAAGGTGTGCGCTACCACACCAACCTCTATGAAATTCCTTTACTCACAGTTTCCTCTGATGTGAATTATAACAGAATTTCATCTGTATAAAGTTTTTAAATGGAGCTGGTTGTGGTGGCACACACCTTGAGTCCCAGCACTTGGGAGGCAGAGGCAGGAGGATCTTTGTGAGTTCGAGGCCAGCCTGGTCTACATAGTGAGCTCCAGGACAGCTGGGGCTACACAGAGACCCTGTCTTAAAAAGACAAAAAAAAAAGAATTTCATAGAGATTTCTTGGGAAAACACCCACAGTCATAAAACCACCTACTACGAGGCTGACAAAAGGGAGATGGACCCTCAGGAGGCAGAGGCAGGTAAATCTCTGGGAGATCTAGACCAACCTGGTTCCAGGTGGGCTGGGACTAGGGAGACCCTGTCAAAAATAAGGGAGGGAGGGGATGGAAAATAACATTCAATATGTGTCTGACTCAGGGTCTTTCGATGTCACCTCAGCGAATCTACACAAGCTTGCAAAAATAAATATAATTATCCCAATTTTACAGAACATGAGCCTGAGACTCAGGAGATCATGTTTATCAGTTGGAAGATACAGCTGCCACTGAGGCTTCACAGTCTCAACACAGACTTTAGGCATCACCCAAATTCAACTACAAGGCTGGGTTTTGAATTGTGGCTTCAGTTAGCTTCAAAATGTGGGTTCCCTACTTGTTGATTCAGTGATTACATTTCAAGGAATTGGTGCTTCAGATAAAGGGCACTCATTGGAAATGACGTCAGTCCAAGGTCACTTACTATGGCACTGTTGGTCAGAGCTGGAACCTAGAAGCCTACTTTCCATGAATCAGATGCTGGTAAATACAGGCACATTCTCACATTGGCACAAAAAGTGGGGCAGCTGTTTGAGATGCTGATATAGAAAGGTCTCGAAAAGACAGGGTTTCATAAAAAGGCCAAGGTGTGGGATTGTGGGCATACCACACTGCCATTCATTTTATTTTGTTTACTAAGGAAAAAAAGAAAGCACGTGGAGCCCAGGTGTTTACTGAGGGTTGTGTTGCACTGATGTCAAAAGCAACATTTCAGTCTTCAACATGGAGTCAGAGACCCTGGGATCTTGGGGAAAATGCAGGTTTCTGATGTTGGGCATAAGCTCCTGGGACACAGTGAAGCTGCTAACTCAGGAGAAAGATTTGGACAGGGACACATGTGCTGAACACATAATGTCCCCAAGGAAAAGTCCCCTGTGACCAGTAGACAGTGAAGAGAGGAAACTATTTCCTTTAGTGCCTATAAATCAGGAGCCATGTAGCATATTATCTAATACAATTAAAACTGGTACAAAAGGGCCGATGAGATGGCTCAGTGGGTCAAGGGTGCTTGCCCACCAAGTCTGATGACGTGAGTTGGATCCTCAGAACTCACATGGTAGAAGGAAAACACTGACTCCAAAAAGTTATCCTCTGACCTCCACATGTATGCTCTGGGCACACACATGCACACATGCACACACACACATGCACATAGATAAATAAATATAGTTTAGTGGTACAGTGGTTGTGTAGAATGCATAAGACTTGGGTTTGATCCTCAGCACTGCAAAATAATAACAATAATAACAGCATGCATACATTTTCCATCCTCAAGGTGCATCATGGTCCCCTCTCCCCAGTCAGGTTTCACAAGAGCTGCCCATCCACTCCTTTCTCCACCCCTCAGATCTTAGCCTCCAGCTCCAGTGTCCTCTCCAACACCTGGAAAGTAATTGCCACCTTCACTGAACTGTTGGGATGGAAGGACATGATACAGGTGCAGCAGCAAAGCACCTGGCTCCTCCAGCGCCAGGCCTCCGTACCCACCTGGACAGTAGTGAAGGAAACAACAACGACAGATAATCACAGTTGTGCTTTCCCTAATTCCTACTGGGCTAGAATTCTGCTGGTTTTGTGCTGAGTTTGGTATGGTTTGTGGGGATGAGGTGGAGCTTAGGGCTTTGTCACACATTCTCCCATTGAGCTACAGCCCCAGCCCTTACCCACTCCTCTGTACTCACCACTAATTCTTCATCGAAGACCTTCTCACCTTCATTCACCTTCTGGAGCTCCATGTGTTCGTACTCATGTGAGGGATCCCCCATGAAACGGCCATTCACCACAGCCGTCTGTGTCACCATCTCCTCAGTGGCAGGGGGCAAGAGGCTCCACTCTGTGCAGTTCAAGCTGCCAACAACATCCACATCAGCCCTGGATTCCAACCCCCTCGCACCCAGGCTCCCACCCCACCAACTAGGGCCAGGCACCCAAAGCTGCTCAAACACCAGTCTTCTCCAAGATCCTACAAAGTGTTTATGGCACAGCCCATCCTCACATTTAATGCAATTTCAATGGTTTAGAGCATGTACTGCTCTTGTAGGGTACCTGAGTTCAGCTCCCAGCACCCACACTGGGCAGCCCACAATTGCCAGTAACTCCAGCTCTAGGGGTTCCAACACTTCTGGCCTCCAAGGGCACCTGTGCCTCTAAGGGCACACAGATATACATATATACATACATACATACACACACACACACACACACACACACACACACACACACACTTGAGTTTGGTTCCTAGCACCCATGTCAGGCAGCACACAACAACCTGTAACTCCAGCTCCAGGGAATCCCACGGTTCAACATCTTTTTCTGGCCTCTTCAGGCACCCCACACACACACACACACACAATAAATTAGTAAATCTTGAAAACAGAAATAAAATATTTTACTTTTTGAAGATTTATTTTATTTTTTTATGTGTATGCATGTATCTGCCACATGTATTCAGGTGCCCAGAGAGACCAAAAGAAGGCATCAGACCTCTCTGGAGCTGGAGTTACAGGGGGTTGTGCATGCCTGATGTGGATGCTGGTTCTAGTTTGCTTCTCTACTGCTGAGATAAAAACACTGACCAAGCTGGGTGTGGTGGTGCACGCCTTTAATCCCAGCACTTGGGAGGCAGAGGCAGGCGGATCTCTGTGAATTCAAGGCCAGCCTGGTCTACATAGTGAGTTCCAGGACAGCTGGGGCTACAGGGAGACCCTCTCTCAAAAAGACCAAAAAAATAAAACACTGACCAAAACCAAGTTGGGCAGGAAAGGGTTTATTTTATCTTACATCTCCTGGGTCGTAGTTCATCTGTGAGGGAGCCCAAGGCAGGACTCAGGGCAGAAACCTGGAGCACAGACCATGGAGGTATGCCTCTTACTGCCTTGTTCTCCAGGCCCAAGCTCAGCCTACTTCCTTAAACAACGTAGGACCACCTGCCGCAGGTGGCACCACCCACAGGGGGCTGGGCCCTCCCACATCACTCAACAATCAAGAAAATGCCCCACAGACACTGGAGATAATGCCCCAACTCGGGCTCCCTCTAACCAACCAGGTGTGTCAAGCTGACAAATAAAGCTATCCAGCACAAGGCTGGAAATGAAACTCAGGTCCTCTGGACAAACAGAAAGTGTTTTTAACTGCTGAACCATCTTTCCAGACCCTTAAAATATTTTTAAAATTGTTATTTATTTTTATTAATTTATGTCTTTTTGAGACAGGGTCTCCCTGTAGTCCCAGCTGACCTGAACACACTATGTAGACCAGGCTGGCCTTGAACTTACAGCAATCCGCCTGCCTCTGCCTCCCGAGTGCTGGGATTAAAGGCGTGCGCCACCAGCCTGGCTTTACTTATTTTTATTTTATGTGTATTAGTGTATTGCCTGCCTATAAGTGCTCCTGTGTTATGCAATGCCTGCAGAGGTCAGAAGAGGGCATTAGATCCCCTGAAACTGAAGTTACAGACGGTTGTTATCTGCCATATGAGAACTAGAAATCGAAACCAGGTCCTCCGCAAGAGCAGCCAGTGCTTTTAACTGCTGAGCCATCTCTCCAACCTCATCCATTTTATATATGCACCAGATTTTCATTATCCATCTGTTGGACAACTAGGTTGGTTCCATTTCCTTGCTATAGTGAATAGAGCAACAACAAACATGGGTGTGCACATATCTCTATGGTAAAATATGGAGTTCTCCAGGTACATGCCCAGGAGTGAGATAAGTTGGGACATATAGTAGCTCATTTTTTATAACTTTTTGAGGAACCTCCAAATTGCTTTCCATAACAGCTGTACTAATTTGCACTCCCACCTGCAATGAACAGTGTTTGTTTCCCACATCCTCTCCAACATTGTCAGATTTCTTTTATTTTTATGTGCAAGAGTATTTTGCCCACATGTATGTTGCAGGGGCCAAAAGAGGGCACTGGATCCCCTAGAACTGGAGTTACTAATGTTAGCTGCTGCCATGTGGGTGCTGGGAACTGAACCCAAGTCCTCTGCAAGAGTAGCCAGTGCTCTTACTGCCTAGCCACCTCTCCAGTCCCTGTTGTCAGATTTTTTGATTATAGCCATTCTGACTTGAGTGAGCCTAGCCACCTCTTGCTACCTCTATCCTGGCCAGGCCACAATCCACTCTAGCCAGGAAACTGCAGTAAATAGCTAATCTGTCTCCCATACCTACCTCCCCCTAAGACTACTCCCTACCCACCTGCTCAAAACTTTCTGTGTAAAACTTTCTAGTGGCTTCCCACTGAGCCAAGCCTCTCAGTGCTCAACCCTGTAACCTCTTCCATTTCACGCTAATAGCATTCTCTTTCACTCCTTTGAGCCATAGTCTGTATGGGATTCCACAAGCACTCTAGGTAAATACCTGTCCTGGGACCTTTGAACTGACCTGGAATTCTCTTCTCTCATGGCTCATTCATTCCCCCAGTTAATTCAATGCACCATCCCTTTAGATGCACCATCCCTGACCACCCAGTTAAAATACTGTCCAGAATTCTCTATCTCCCTTTGTACCCAATACCATCTGTCAGATATGTGGGTGTTTATATATTGTCTGTCGTCACTAAACTGACCTTATTGTCGGGCCCTAATTGGGGGTCCCTGTTTATGCCCCCCCATACACACTGTAACATAAGTTCCATGAAGACAAAAGACTTTGTCTTATTTACCTTCTCCAGGCAGACTGGATTCCTGATGCTTAAACCAATGCATAGTACATGGTAGGTGCTCAACTAATGCTTATACAATAAGGTGAAATTAATCTGAAACCACTTATCTGCAGCTTGAATGTAGATTCCTAAACTATACTTTCAGGCTTTCCTATCCTTTGCCCGAGGGCACATGATCCCATAATCTCTCTTATCTTCCCAGGACCTTTTGTAGGTTAGGTTTGCTTGCTTTGTTTGGGGAGTTATTTTGTTTTGCTTTATTCTGAGATAAGATCTCCCACTGTACCGGAGGCTGGCCTTGAACTCCTCCAGCCTCAGCCTCCTGAGTGCTGGGATTACAGGCCTGAGCCAGATCCTGCTGACTGAATTTTCTCTAGTAAGCAGCATCAGCATTTAGCTGCATCACTTGGAAAGAGGAATCAACCTTGAAATCAAACTTGCATTCAGCCAGTCACACAGCCCTCCTCTTAAATCTTTCCAACCACTTCCATTCCCTCAACTACTTTCCCTTCAAACCCTTTCTTCCAGACTCATGCAATGCTTACAGAGGCCAGAAGAAGGTGTCAGATCCCCTAGAACTGGAGTTACTGACAGTTGTTAGCTACCACGTGGATGCTAGTAACTGAAGACCCAGGTCCTCTACAAGAACATCCAGTGCTCTTAACCGCTGAACCATCTCTCTAGCCCTGTTGTTTTTGAGATAGGGTCTCTTGTAGCCCAGGCTGACTTCAAACTCCTTATGTATCAGAGGTTAGCCTTGAACCTCTGATCCTCCTGTGTCCACCTCCCAAATGCTGGGATTACAAGCATGCACCACCATGCCCAGCTATCTGTTCTAACACATGGTGCTGTAATTGCTGAGTGACATGTCCGGCCCCTTCCCTGGCATATACTACCGGGAGGCAGGTGCAACTTGGCCAACTTTGTAACCCTAAGTCTAGCATGGCATGCATCCAGTCAATGCTGACTTGATTCATGAGTAGGTAAATGAAGTCCCCAACTGCCTACAGGTTGAATGCTTTATAAAGTGCTTGGCTCTCCATCATCTCTATAGGAGTCAGAAACAGGCTGGGATGCTCCTATATGGTAGTTTTATGTTTTCTACTTCCAAGAGCACCTCCCATTGCAGAGCCTACACCTCCACAGAAGATGCTTCCAAATAGCTCTACTCTAACCCTCAGGACAGCTGCCTTTTCTCCAAGCCAAGTCCTCTGAAACTGCAGGTGCTGGAGCTAGCTGCAATCTGAATTCAACTTCAGGTCTGCCGCCCCCGTTTAGTCCTCCCTCTACGAATCCATCTGCACCTTCTTTTCTCCTGTCCCTCCAGGCTGACAAAGCTGCCCCCATCCCCAGCCCTCAGAATCCGCTGGACCCTCAGGAGGCATCCCAGTCCCCTCTCCCTCAACCGTCAATTCCATGCCCAGGCCCCGCCCCCAGGCAGCTTCTCCCATCCATCCTGGCTCCCCTGAGTCCCGAGGTCCACCCACCACCCTTCAAGGACCTCCAGGAGCTCCTCCCTTGGCCCCAGGGTGCCTCACCTGTACAGCGTCTTGCGCGGTGCCAGCTGGTCATCACTCAGGCCCTGCGCGATGTAGTAATCGGCGACCAGGCCGAGGATGCGGCCCCAGAAAAGGACCCGATCGAAGCGGTAGTCGCGCTTAACCAGCATCAGGGAGGTGAGCAGCGAGGCCCGCCGGTCCGGGCTGAGGCCCTGCCCACTGCCGGATGCCAGCTCCAGCGACAGCAGGAGGCTGTCTGCGTCCATCGGGCCAGCGGTCCTGCTCCGCGCCTGTCGAGGCTAGAAGCCGTCTCCATGGAGACCCGGAGACCCGCCCCTCCGTCAGCAAGACGCAAAAATCCCACCCACCAGACCGCCCATCGCCCGGCCCATCTCCTGAAACCGCCCATGGGTAAAACCAGGGCAACCTCCAGCCCCTCCCTCTTCCGCTGAGGAGTCTAGGGTGGATGTTGTCCCAGAGGTGGGGTGTGTTCCCCCACTATAGGTAGGCTACAGTGTGGAGTTGGAAGTCCCAACCCAGCCCAATGCACGGTATTTTAGCTCTCGAGTCCCCACTGTACTTATGCACCACAGATATTGTCAAGAAAACCAATACAAAGCCCCAACAAGGGCACTAACTGTATTATTTCGGCCAGATATATCATTTCTTGACCTGAGAATTTTACTAAGTATCTGAGATACTCCTGGCTCTAAAAGCCTAAGACTCTGACAATCAATCCCTCTAAGTCTCACTCCAACCAAGACAGGTCTCATAAGACTGGCTCTGTCCATTTGGTACTTTTTTTCAATGTTTATATTATTTTATATTTATTATTTTATGTGTACGAGTGTATTGCCTGCATGTATGTAAGTGCACCCATGTCATACGGTACCCACAAAGGGTAGAATAGGGTGTCAGATCCCCTGGAACTGGAGTTATGGACAGTTGTTAGCCACCATGTGGGTACTGGGATTCAAACCCAGATCTTCTGCAATAGCAACCAGTGCTCTTAACCTCCAAGCTATCTCTCCAGCCCCCATTCTGCAGTCTTTATAGGGCTCACCAGAAGGTCCCTTGCTTACTCTTGGAACTACTCTGACAAACGAGATTAGATACTGAGGTAAGGTATAGGCCCACTTCTTGAAAACAGATGATGTGGGAAGGGCACCAAAAAAGATATGGACTATACCAGCCTGTCAACTGTCACCTAAATGTACCTAACCTTGAGTTCCACAACTGTTCAGACAGATGAACACCAAATCCCCACTTTTGCTGGGGCCATGCCCCACCCCCCCCAGCTAACCTAACCACTGCTACTTCCCATCCACAAGTCCCCAAAGGCAAAACAAACAGGTCCCTCAGCAGCCTTGTTGTCAGGGAAGATTGGGCTTATGTTAGTATTAACTGGTCTTTTCATTTCTGCTTCCTTTGGGAAAAGACTCATGAAGTCAAAATGCTCTGGGCCTCAATGCCAAGCCCATAGAGAAATAACTGTTTAAATCACCCCGTAATGACTTTGTTTTGATTGCCTTGTTCATGATGGCATTAACAGGTCTTCCATTCCAAACAACTTATGACCCCCTATCCACAATTTCCCTGCAGGCTTTGGTCAGACTCCCTCCACCTATCCCTGCCCTACATGAGAGATGTGGTCCAATAATTCTGTAAAATAATACTGTCAGACAGAAAAACAGCCAACAGTCTGACTAATGGGATGCTGCTTCAAATGGTTTCAATTCAGAAAACAGCCTAAACGTTTTGGATTCTGATTCTAGGTCTACCTATTTAATGATGAGTTCCCTGTCAGGAACCAGAATGAAACAAGAGAGGACAGTCCTGAAGCTTTGTAGTGCTCAGTCTTGGTCTGGGGCAGGGAAAATCCTGGCTGTTTCACAGAAAAACCACACTGATGTTACAGCACAGTGGAAAGTCTTCAGCCTCTGCAGGCAAGTAAACAAGTTTAAGCCCATGTTTTACCACTGAAGCAAATTAACTTCCTTAAGCCTCATCTTAATACTGTGCTTAACACAGTATTAAGGCACAAGGAGCTTTGTGGTAGATACACAAGAGATCAGCCTAGCATCACAGCATTGGGTTGTGGAAATGGAGGCCTCTCTTGTGGGCACTTCAGAGGGGCATGCTAGAGGATATAGGATTGAAATACCATGATTCCCAGAAGTTGAATTCAAATACTTGAAAATAAAACTGAGGAAGGAGGTGGAAAGAATGTAAGAGCTGGAGGATGGGGAATGCTGGCTTTGGGACATGCCATGGACCTTGCACTCATGAACTGACTGTAGCTATGGTGACCTACAAAAGATCAAGCCAAGATGAGTCAACATTAGAGCAAACAGTTCTAACCCAACCCAATGGTTTTTAAAAAAGACATGGTAGGAGGGGGTATGTTGACATGTTGAGGGGATGGGGAGATGTAAACAGAATACATTGTATACACATATGAAATTATCCTGAATGACAGCCAAGGAAGGAGACCTTGCCAGAGGTTGCACAAGATTGGACTTTCAGCCTCCAAAACCTTGAACTAAGTAACATTCTTTTCTTTATGAAAAAAAAACAACGTATAAACTTAGCCTAGTAACCTGTAATCCTGGCTAGTAAGCAGAGGCAGGAGGATCAGGAGTTCCAAGGACATCCTTGGCTAGTAGTAAGTTCAAATTCAAATGAAACGGTCTCAAACTGAAAACAGAAAGAAAACATAATATATGTGTTACATACTACACTTCAAGCCCTTTACACATATGATCTACCCTAACAACCTTGCTCCATCAGCAAGGTAGGGATTCTGTCCTCAACTGGCTTCCAGGAAATGAGCAGGGGTTCTCAGGGACAAAGAGCTCTACCTAACCCACAGTAATCAGGCCAGTATCAAGCTTAAGAGGACAACAGGACTACAATCGGAAGGGCAGTTTTGCCAAGAGCGCCTGCAGTGCCATCAAACAGCTGCAGTGGAGGCAGACAGGGCAGAGCTCCAGAAAGAATGGGCATGGGGAGCAAATCCACCAGTATTGGGGCCATATGGGGAGCCTGAGCCTAGTGCTGCATCTAGCTCTGTGAAGAGCCTCTTCGTTTTCGTTCCTTGGCCTAGTCTCTCAGCCCCCTTCTCCTGAAGTTTCTCAGATCTGAAGGGTGACTTCACGAAGACTGAATGCTGCCACATCCTTCTGTCCTGAACACCAACAGAACTACAGGTGACCCTTTTTTGCTTGTTTTTTTTTGTTTGAGATAGGGTCTCTCTGTAGCCCCAGCTGGCCTGGAACTCCCTATGTAGACCAGGCTGGCCTCCATCTCTCAGAGATCTACCTGCCTCTGCCTTCATGGATAGTGCTGGGATTAAAAGCATGGGCCACCATACCCAGCAACCCTTTTTCAAGTATGCAGCTCTGCTCTCTGAGCATGAAATTTCTTTGTGGGGAGCTCCTCTCCTTAACATTCTTGCAGGACGTCTGATCAGAGTTTTCCACAGACCAGGCACAGGCAAGACTGTTCACTACATCCTAGATCTCACATTAAGTGGACAAGTTCCCTATCAGAATTTTTGTCTATATCAAAAGTAACCTGTTTTATGCATGCAGAATTTAAGAGTGAACAATCAGTACGTGGCAACGAAATAATGTTGAGCTGGAAATTAACTGATAGGAACTCTAGGCTCAATTCTGAGACTGAGGGAGAAAAATATCATTAGTGAAAAAACCCAGACTTCTGAGCAGAAGCACCAAAATACCCTCCTGGTTATGATGTACTCTGGTGGGCAAATTCTCAAGAGGATGAGGCAGGAGGCCAGCCTGAGTTATACTTTTAGGGCTGGATGTAGCTCAGGTGATTGAGTGCTTGCCTAGCATGAATGAAGCCCTGGATTCCATCCCCAGCACCCAGTAAACCAGGCATGGTTACATGTACCCATGATTTCCGGAGGTAGGGGAGGAGAATTAGAAGCTCGAGGTCATCCTCAGCTACACAGCAACTTCAGAGCTAGCTCAAGATACACCAGACTTTCTTAAAAACAAGGAAAAAAAACCTCTAGACTCAAGGCCAAAAATCTAAGTCAAAAGTGTCAGGAAAATTTAATAGGACTCTGTTCATTCCATATTTAAATTCATGAATTCCACACACATTACGACCATGATAGCAGTTCTGAAAAGACACAGCAAAAAGCAGAGAAGGGCCACCTCCATAGGAGAATCTACCACCGGCCCGCCTTTGCTTTCTAAGCCTCCAGGAAAGTTAGTCTTTGATTCAGGGACTTTGCTCCATGATGATTATCAGTCCACAGCTACAGCAACATACCATCAGCCACCGGGAAGTCTGCAGAAGGGAGGCACACAGCCTTCTTCCCTTACCAGGAAGTAGCTTTGGTTCCAAAACGAGAGGAGTGCCTTGGTGCCAGAGGGGAGAGAATCCAGCCATTGTCTTCACAATGAAGCACCCTCATTCACTTACTCATGGAAACCTTTAAGTATCACTGGTGCCTGGAACCAAATGTAATCTTCTGAAGCCATGGTGGGGATGGAAAGTCTGCCACAGGACAGTGTCACAGTGAGTTTGTGACCCCGACTGGGCACTCGGTAGTTGAGCTTGGGTCGAAACCAATCTTCTCCACAGTCCCGGTGCCCTTGGACCATGACAATGGTGCCCATAAGCGGAGGAGCCTGCAGCTCATTAAAGGCATCAGCCATGAAAATGGCTCGGAAGAGGCGACGCAAACATGCTGCTGTGCTCAGGCACTGGTCCACACTGAAGGGGGCCAGCCTGGACAAGTCGAGTTCATAGAATTCCTTAGGACTTAGGACATTTCCCCCGAGGAGGATCAATACTCGTGGTACTAGAGTCCGGCCAAAGAAGTCCTGGAGATGACTGAGGATACTCTCCAGTTCTGCCAGAGCCTGTTGGCACTTCCTGCTGCTTGCTTCCGTAGTGGTCCAAGGTTTCTTCCTCACCATGTCCTCTGCCTGTAAGAACAAAGGAGGACACAGTAGTATGAATTGTAAACTGACAAGACTGGATTTCTGACCTTGGGTCTTCCCAGAGGGCACTAAATTAAAATATAGACTGTACAAACCACAACTCTTCTGTACTTTGAACAGCAAAGATGGTACTGAAAGCTGGAAGGCATTAAAATATAAGTAAGAGGTTGGGCATGGTGGTACACACCTTTAATCCCAGCACAAAGGAAGCAGAGGCAGGCAGATCTGTGAGTTCCAGGCCAGCCTGGTCTACATAGTGAGATCTAGGCCAGCTGGGGCTACAGGAGATCCTGTCTCAAAAAGACCCCCCACCACCAAAAAAAATGAAAATAGTGAGATGGCTCTGAGAGTAAAGTACTTACTATGCAAGCCTGGTTACCAATTTTGATCCTCAGAATCCATGTAAAGGTAGGAGAGAATCAACTCCACAGAGTTGTCCTGACCTCCATATGTGCACTGTGGCATGTACAACCACACACAGGAATCATGTACACACACACTAATAAAAATTTTAGTGTAGTGGTGCATGCCTTTAGTCCCAGCACTTGGAAGGCAGAGGCAGTGATTGAGATCAAGGTTAGCCTGGTCTACATACTGAGTTCCAGGCCAGCTGGGGCAAGAGGGAGACCCTGTCTCAAAACAAAACAAAACATTTTTTAAATAGCAAAAGAGATTCAGTGGCATAGCTGAAAATAACATTTTTTTTAGGCTGGGCACAGTGGCGCTTGCCCTTAATCCCAGCACTCAGGAGGCAGAGGCAGGCAAATCTCTATGAGTTCAAGGCCATCCTGGTCTACACAGTGAGTTCCAGGACAGCTGGGGCTACAGGGAGACCCTGTCTCAAAAAAAAAAAAACAAAGAAAAAGAAAAAAACCACACAAAAAAACTTGTTATAAAAAAAAAGAAAGTAATTTTTTGTTGTACTCAGGTACTCAGAGCATAAAGGAACGAGGACTATTTAATCTAATCAAGACAATTCTAGATAATTCTAGGCCAGGCTTGGTGGCATACACCTTTAATCCCAGCACTTAGGAGGCAGAGGCAGGTGGATCTCTGTGAGACAGCCTGGTCTACATAGTAGACCTCTTCTGTCTTCCATGGGCATTGCACGACTCGGGTGCACTTACCTACATGTAGGTAATACATTCATACACATAAAAATAATAAATAAAAATATCAAAAAATATATATCCAGCATTGTGGGGGAAGACAGGCAAATCCTAAGAGGTCACTGGCAACCCAACCTAGCCTAAACATTGAGCTTCTGGTTCTGTCAGAGACCGTGTCTTAAGGCAAAAAGGCACAGAGCAATACGAACCACACAAAAAATGAATACATGTTATCAATACTTTTCCACCTAAAATACCAAGAGAAGGAATTCAAGAAGGAAAGGAGAAAGAAGTCAAGGAGAAATCCCAACAGAGAGTAGAGAAATAGCATTAGCTAAAGGCAAGAAGTTTCAGAGGATAAAAGCAGATGTCCCCAGCAATGCACCCCCCCCCCAGAAAAAGGTAGATAAGAGGGTTGAGTTCAAGAGAGCTGATTACCAACTGCTAGTAACAAGGACAAGAAGCAAATCCACATTTCAGAATCCCAGAAGGGTCAAGAGCAAACAATACAGGCACTGCAGAAGGCATTATGGGCTGAATAAAAACTTCAGAGTTTCTAGTACTATGTTCGGTGAATTTATCAGAGATCACCTGGTTCCCATCCAGTCTCCTTATGATGATGTTTATCAGCTCATAAGGCCCAGGCATGCATCCAGATCATGCAATGATTCATTCTTTTTTTTTTTACTCTATGTGTATGTATGTATTGCCTGAATGTAGGTAAGTGCACCCATGTGGTGTAATGCCCTCAGAGGACAGAAGAGCCATCAGATCCCCTGAAACTGGAGTTATGGACAGTTGTTAGCTGCCATGTGGGTGCTGGAATTCGAACCTGGGTCTTCTGCAAGAACAACCAGTGTTCTTAACCACTGAGCCATCCTCCAGCCCCACAATGATTCATTCTTAAATATTCACCTGACACAGAATAAAAGGTTCCAACATGAAAGAATGGACACCAAAAGCCAAAAGAAATAAATGGGGAAAAAATTCTGGAAGAAAGATACACTGCAAGGAGCAGGAAAAAAAAAAAAAAAAAGTTGCTGGTATGGTGGCACAGGGGTTTACACCCAGCACTCCCGGGACGGAGGGGCAGGACAGAGGGGCAGGAGGATCTGAGAGCAGGCCAGCCTAGTCTATATAGTGAGTTCCAGGCCAGCTGGGGCTACATAGTGAGGTTCAAGCCAAGGCAGCTCAGCTGGTAAAAAGGCACTTGCTGCCCAGTCAGAGCCACCTGAGCTTGACTCCCAGGACATAATGATATAAGGAGAGTGTTGACTCAAGCAAATTGTCCTCTGACTACCCACCAAAGTGGGGAGAAAAGTAAAGAAAGCCTTTGCAATGCTTAGGCTGACAAGGCCCCTGAAGGTTTCTCAGGCTACTTTCCTACCATTTAGAGCCACAGTCTTCCACCACTTTGCCCACGCCTACCTGGGGAGATCTTCGGTAGAAGTGCTTCAGCTGTTCATAGGGCAGAGGGAGCTGTTGGCGTTGGTACATTATATGTTTCAGCAGTTCACAAGTAAACTGACAGCAGCCTTCCTGGCTCACAGGCCCAGGAAACACCACTGGCACCAAGCAGTCTCTTGGGTAAAAGGACTCCGAAGAGTTCGACGTTTCCTGGGCCGACGTGACAGCCTCAAGGAGTTCTACCTGGGGACCAGGAGTGTCTTCCAACTTCTCATACCACTCCAAATCTAGGTGAATAGAAAGAAGGGAGGAGAAAAAAAGAAAGCTCAAAATCAACGTCGGTCTTCGGTTCCCTGTGGCCACATCAGCCACCACTGTCAAGGGGGCACCCGACCCTCCCACATACTCAGGGCCACCTCCGGCGTGGACGGCGACTGGGAGAGGCCTGATCCCTGCCCAGGGGTATCTAAATGACAGGAGAGGACTTTCGGGGAGTGACTAAGACACCCAAAGGGCCAGGGCCCGCGTCGCGATTCCACCCAGGACTAGGAACGAAGGGACCGGGAGGGAACCGCCGGGGGACGCGCCAGCCGCTGCTCGCTGCAGGACGGTGACAGGAGGGGGAGCTGGGTCCCGGAGTTCTGGACCCCATGCTTTACCTGGGACGGTGGCAGGAGAGAGCACAGACACAGGATCCGGCTCCGGCGCAGCCATCGCGACTTGCCGGCCTCAGTCCAGCTGCGGTTAAGAAGAGGCCCCCCGCGCAGCATCATGGGAAGCTCAAGCTCCACTTCCGGCCGAGCCGGAAGGGGCCCGGCGCCGGGTCGGGGAGGCTGGGTTAAGTAGAATTGGGCTGGGTCACACCCTGGCAGGGAATGCCTGGCCTTCCCTCCGGAAACCCCTGCGCGCTCAGCCGCTGGCACGAAGCAGGGAAGGCACCCTAGGGCGCATCCCGAGCCTCCAGCTTGCACTGCGCACCTACTTTGTGCCAGGCTCTGTCCTAGGTTCTGGAGATTCGGCCATGAACAAGCTACTCCTGTCCTCAAGGACTTGGAGAGAGAACTCAATCAGAAGGATTTTACAGTGGACGTGTACAAGGATTATAGACTTGAACAAGGCACCTGTCAGAGAGGGCTGGAGCAGGGAAAGGATGGTCCCAGGAGAAATGTGTGGTAGCCGGACTTGGTGGCACACGCTTTAATCCCAGCGCTCCGGAGGCAGAGGCAGGCAGATCTCCAGGATTTCAAGGACATCCTGGTCTACACAGTTTTCCAGACCTGCTGGGGCTACAGGGAGCTCAAAAAGACACCCCCCCCCCAAAAAAAAAGAAAAATGTGTGAAGCCTTGTGGCCTTGTAGGTTAAGTTTAGCAAGCAGAAGACCTAGTGTCCTGGAGACCTTGAAAGCGTTAAGGCTGCAGTGGATAAACAGGAGCCAGATCATGGTGTAGGACTTTACAAGCTATGTTAAAAGTCTGCATGCCTTTAGAGGCAGAGTCTGACAAATCTCTGAGATCTTGAGGCCTGCTTGGTCTACATAGTGTTCCAGGCCAGCCAGGACTACTGAATGAAACTGTTTAAAAAAACAAACAATGGGGCTGCAGAGATGGCTTGGCGGTTAAGAGCACTGACTGCTCTTGCAAAGGACCCGGGTTCGATTCCCAGCACCCACATGACGGCTACGAACCGTCCTTAACTCCAGTTCCAGGGGAATCCGAAGCCCTCTTCTGACCTCCGCAGCATTGCACAACACGGGTGCACTCACATACATGCAGGCAATACACTCATACACATAAAATAAAGATAATAAATAAAATATTAAAAAAAAAAAAAAAAGCCGGCATGACACACGCCTTTAATCCCAGCACTCGGGAGGCAGAGGCAGGCAGATCTCTGTGAGTTGAAGGCCACCCTGGTCTACATAGTGAGTTCCAGACCAGCTTGGGCTGCGGGGAGAGCCTGTGTCAAAAAGAAAAAAACAAAACAAAACAAAAACCTATCTCTTGTAGGGGAACGGGAAGCTTTTTCAAAGTAGGGGAGGGAGAGATGGCCAAGCATGATGGGTCAGCAAGTAGAAGCACTTCCCACCAAGCCCAGAACCCACGTGGTAGAAGAAGAGCATCCACACCCACAAGCTCTCCTCTGACCTCTACATCTGCACCATAGCACACACACAAGAAATAAGGTACAATAAAAAACTTAGTTTACATCTTGAAATTTAGCCTCCAAACTTACTGAAATGTAGAGACTGAATTACAGGAAGATGAGGCAAGGTTGCCAGTTAGAGGCAGTGACTACAGTCACCCAATTCTTGGTAAAAGAGGTCTAACCTAGGGAAGAACTTAAATATTCTTCCCTTATGGGGCCTTTCACTAAAGAAATTTTTATGCACCATTGGGCAGATAAGTATACAAACATTTCTTGATAATAAGTCAGTTTACTTTAAATCAGTTGGTAGATTGAACGAGGACCTGAGTTCAAGCCCCAGCCCTACCAAAAAAAAAAAAGCTCTATGAATCTAACAAGTAGATGTCTAAAACAGTTCTTTAGTATATGTATAATGTTACCATTTATTAAAAACAAAGCAAATATGCTCACTAACAAGATGAATGTGTTTATGTAACAAAATACAAAAGACAATGAAATTTATGTGACAAAGATGGCAGGAAAATATTAAAAGTCTTTATTTCCTTTCTTTTTGTTAAACACCTTAAATTTTATTTACTTTTTAAAAGTTAAATTTAAGGTCTATACACTATATAGAGATCCTGCAAAATAAGTATAAAGAGATACACGTGAGTCGTGTGCAAAAGACTATTTATAAAATTGTCTGCATAAATACATATTAAATTCTTAGGAGGATAGCAGGGACTGCCAGGATTTCTGAAACACTTTCCAAAGTGACTCAAGGCACAAAATATACAACATTGTGCATATACACATTCTAGACTTTGTGCCTCTGATAGAGCTCAAAGATTTGCCTTCATGACTATCATAAAACTAAATATACCAAATGAGAGTCTGTTTCTTGGATGAAAAATCACAGACCTATAAATATCAAAAAGATAATTACTCCAGGATATGAAGATACAAATACAAGTACTTAATTTTTAAAAGCAAAAACAAAAGATCGGTGTTAAATCTAAGAGTGTTTAATTGCTTCCATTTAAGATAATTAAGAACCTATACAAGTTTGCTCTCAGAAGCTAATGAATTATTAGTCTCTACTAAGGAAAATGAATTCTAAAAATTAACATGGTTTTCAGTATTTAAATTTCATTATTTATATAAAAGTCTAGAGAGGCCAATAATATCCAATTGCTTCAAAAGATAAACTAAACACTCTTTGATGTAATCAATTTTACCAATGTTTTTGAAACAGGTTCTCACTATGTAGCCCTGGTTGGCCTGGAACTCATAAAGATCCGTCTACCTCTGCCTTCTAAACTACAACTAAACCATCATGTTTCTGTTTTGTTTTGTTTTGGTCTTTTTGAGATGGTCTCCCTGTAGCCCCAGCTGGCCTGGAACTCACTATGTAGACCAGGCTGGCCTTGAACTTACAGAGATCCGCCTGTCTCTGCCTCCCACGTGCTGGAACTAAAGGCATATGCTACCACACCCAGCTTTGTTTCTTTCTTTCTTTTTAAATCTTATTTTATTTATTAATTTTTATTTTTTATTTTATGTGTGTGCGTGTATTGCCTGCATGTAGGTAAGTGCACCCGTGTCGTGCAATGCCCATGGAGGACAGAAGAGGCTGTTGGATCCCCTGGGACTGGAGGTACGTACAGTTGTTAGCTGCCATGTGGGTGCTGGGATTTGAACCTGGGTCTTCTGCAAGAACAGCCTGTGTTCTTAAATGCTGAGCCATCTCTCCAGCCCCCCAAACTTTGTTTCTGTAAGAGCAGAAAAGTTTGTATTAGAGTAAAAAACAGAAATTCATAGCATATAGTAGTCAGAATGTAGAGGGGTGTTTTTTTTTTTTTTTTTGGTGGTTTTTAAATTTTTATTTATTTTTATTTTAGGAGTAGGAACATTTTGCCTGCATGTATGCAAGTGCACCTGTGTCCAATAATGCCCAAGAAGGCAAGAAGGGGTGTGTGTATCCCCTGGAACTGGAATTAAGGAAGGTTGTTAGCTGCCAGTGGGTGCTGGGAACCTAATCCAGGTCCTCTGGAAGATCAGTTAGTGCTCTTAACCATGGAGTCACCTCTCCAGCCCTGGATGGTTGTTTTTTGAGAGGATCTCAGGTAGCCCAGGCTAGTCTTAAACTTTCTATATAGATAACACTGGCCTTAAGCTTCTGATCCTCCTGCTTCAGCCTCCCAAAGGTTTGAATTATAGTTGTGAGGCACCATGTTTGGTTTTATTTACTTATTTGGAGACAGGATTTCATGAAACCTAGACTAGCCTTGAACTCCCTATGTACTCAAGAATGACATTGAACTTTTGATCCTCCTACTACCTTCTGAATGCTGGGATCACAGTTTGTGCCACCATGTGTCAAGTTTATGCAGTGCAGGGACTCAAACCCAGAACTTTGTGCATGGTAGGCAAATGTTAGGCAAGCACTCTACCGACTGTGCTTTGTTTTGGTTAAATTTTTTAGGATACAAGGTCTCATATAATCTAGGCTGGCCCCTGGCCCCTGGCCCCCAATTTGATATACAGCAAAGGATGACCTTGTTTTTTTTTGAGACAGGGTCACACTATAGCACTTGGGTGTCCTAGAACTCACTATGTAGACCAGGCTGGCCTACAATTCCCAGGCATCCACCTGCCTCTGCCTCCTGAGTGCTGGGATTAAAGGTGTGTGCTACTAGACCCAACAAACTTGAATTCTTAATCCTCCTATCTCAGCCACCCAAGTACTGGCATTATAGGCATATACCACCTGTTGATCTGAGCACTTCAAAGCAATGTTTATTGGTGTAACATTAAGGTTATGACATATGCAAAATCTGAATGTTGTATGTTCAAAACCAAGGCTGCTGTGAAGCCACACAACTCAATATGGACCAATGCTGCCAGAAATACCTCAGATTCATTACGTTTGATTTTTAATTAATTTTTGGTCATTGTGTGTTCAGAAACTTTTTACTCTTGTCAAATTTTTCAAAATCCCCAAACCCAGATGCACAATTCCTATTGAAGGAGTGTGCCCCTCAGACCCCCTCCCTATCCTCTGAGAAAAAGCTTCCCTCCACCTGACTCTGGAAATCCCTTCCATTGTTCAAACCTTTTCCTGGTATCTGTTTATGATTTCTATGGAAGTGGTCTGGGGCAGAAGAGATAGAACATTCCGCCCTGGGTAAGCTAGCCAATGGGAGTATACCTGATACATATGTGTATGGTTTCTATGGGAATAATCAGGGGCTGGAGAGATCGCTCAGTGGTTAAGGGCACTGGCTGCTTTTGCAGAGGGCCCACGTTCAATTCTCAGCACCCACATAGCGGCTAACAAACATTAGTTACCCATAACTGGATAACTCCAGATCCAGGAGATCTGACACCTTCTTCTGGCCTCTGAGGGCACTGCATGCATGTGGTACACTTCATATATGCAGGCAAAACACTCAAACACATAAAAATAAATAAAATTAGTTTCTATCACACACTACAAAAAATGAGTTACAAATGAATTAAAGATCTAAACATAAAAATTCCTACAAGAGAGCTAGAGGTATAGCACAGTGGAAGAGCCTATGCATAGCAAGCATTAAGGCCCTGGGTTTGATTTCTAGTTTAAATAAAAAACAAAAACCAGGCCAATGAGATGGCTTAGCAGGTTGTGGCTCTTGCTGCCAAGACTGATGATCTGGAATCCACATGGTGGAAGGAGAGAACAGACTCTTGCGAATTGTCCTCTGACTTCCACATGTGCACCGTATTACACACACACACACACACACACACACACACACACAATATAAATAATGTAAAAAAAACCTTAAAACTCCTACTAGAAATATTAGGTAAAAATTTATAATGTATATAATTTATAATCTTGACTTAAGGATAACACTAAATCAAGAAAGCATAAAGAGTAAGACTGCTAAGTCTGAGCACACAAAGACACTATCCACAAAATGCATACACATGCAAAGGTACTATACATAAAAGTAAATGACTAATTACAAGCCAGGAAAAATATGATCATGTGATATTTAACTATGATGTATATATACATATCCCATAGCTAACTACCTCATAGACACCTCATAAGCACCCTGTCCAGGAAACTAATCACATATACTACTTCCATTCCCCAGGACTCTGATCTCCATCCTCTTCAGCCTGGTCCTCTGCCAGCCTTCCCTTCTCCCTGAGGTAGGTTAAAAATGGGTTATCTCTATCATTTCTCTTTTTTAAAGTTTATTTTATTACATTTTTTCTTGTTTCTTATTTTATTTTGTGTATGTTTGTGGGGTGAAAGTGGGGGATGTTGTGCATATGTCATGGTGTTACTGAGGAGATCAAAGGACAACTTGCCAGAGTTCTTTGTTTTCAGCATGTGGGCCCCAGGTATTGAACTAAGTTGGTCAGGCTTGGTGGCAAGAACTTTTTCCTGAAGAGCCATCTCACTGGTCCCCTCTGTCATCTCTTAAAGAAGTTCTTCACTAAAGAGACAAGGGTTTGGAATAGGTGAAGTGAAATTGTGTGAAGTTCACTATTAGAATATATAAATGAAAAAAAAAAACCCCACAAAACCAGCTATTATCAGTTAAGTGCAGCAGGTTCTGGCTCCTGAGCGAGCACAGAGCTGTTTGTGCCATAGTGTGTGTGTGTGTGTGTGTGTGTGTGTGTGTTGGGGGTGGGGAGGATTTGGTTATCTCTTCCTTCTAGTTCCCATCCCTTTGAGATCTCGCACTAACGTCTCTAGTCTCAGTCTCTAACAACAGCTCTCCTGGTAGGCCCATGGGCCCCTGGCTAGGACTGTCTTCAACCATACAGGTTAGCACACAGAAAAGTCACCTGCTTTCCTCCACTGAAGACCTACCCATATAATTGGCTGGACCAGCAAGGCCCTTTGTCTCCTCTAGCAGGCGTGAGTTATGCCATGTGGACAGCAACTGCATGCTCAGAAGATGCTTCTCCCTCTGTGTGGACCTATGAAGAAGGAATGAATTCAAGCAGATCTGAACTCCTGCAGGGGGTACCAGAGGTAAGCCACTGTTGGTCCTCCTAGTTTTCCGTGGAAAACTTACAAATCTGAAGGCAAAAGCTGTTTTATTTCTTGTCTGTGTGTGAACACCTGGTTGTCTGTGAAGAGAGGGAAGTGGACACACTGTGAGTGGTGAGTCATGAGATAGCCACGGGGTTGGGATTTGAACTATGCGTCCTGACTCGCAGCCCTCTCTCCATCCTGCCTTTCTGGTGTCCTGTACACGGGTTTGTGTCGCTTTATGTTTACACTCAGACTCCAAGCATTCTGATGAGGAGAAATGGCTTGTCAAGAAAGTCAACAATCCCCTGGGGCCTCAGGCCAAGTTTCTATTCCGGGCCTCTTCCCCCGCCCTCGCAGAGGTTGACGCAACAGGAGTCCCAGCACAGCCTCAAATAGGAGCCAGGCTCCTCCTCCAGCCCTGTTTTAAACCAGTCTCGGTAGTCCAGGATAGGTTCAGTTTCAAAACAAAGGGGAGGAGTGATACTTGATGTGAGCATCCTCCAAGCCCTTAGGCAGCTAGCTGGTTTATGGGTTCGGGCATCGTGTCTGGCCACCGCGGTGCCTGGGGCTGCTAAAACCAGCCCCCGGACTGTGCCAGGTCAGTAATAAAGCAGTGACTACGATATAAGGGTGGCATAATCATCGTCACAATAGCAGCCCTAATTGGGCTATAATCACCATCTGCCTCCGCCCAGGCGTTTGCCCTGACTCACCCGACAGCACGGCAGCCGTCGGGTAATAAACTGAGGCAGAGGTGGAGCTGGAAGGCTGGCGCGATCAGCCGTACTGAACTTTGCAGTTCTGCAAGTCCCAAACCTATCGTCTGCTATCCGCGCTGGGCGACCAAACACAGAGGCGCCCAGCTCGATTCTGAAGTGAGCCCTTCGCCTCTGGTGACTGGCCCCAGTTTCAGGCCGCCGGGCTCTCAAACTGCCCCCAGTAAAGGAGTCCCTCCGAGCGCGGGGATTCGGTGTGGACTACAACTTCCTTCAGCCTTTGCGCACAAGGCCCTCACGCTGCCCACACCCCGAAGCCACCAGCGGCCCTCGCGCCGCGATGCCTCCTGGGAGCTGTAGTGCAACCTCGCGTTCTTTTGCACTAGATAGGAGGCCAGCCGACTCGGTATCCCTTGGTGCCCCGCGGCTGTTTCTGACGCAACCTAGAGGCCAGGGGAGGCGGGGGCGTGGCCCGTTCCCGGCCACACCCCGCTCTCCTCCGGCTGGCCGGACTCGGTAGTGGCGGTAGGGGCGGCGGCGGTGGCGGGGGGGAG